ATCCAAGATATGTTAAAAAGTATAAATACTATAAAAATAAATCCCAGGCCAAACAAAACCTTGTTGCCAATAACAGTGATAGGGTATTTTTAATTTTCTCCATAAAAATATGTGGATGAACTAGCTACAAAAGGAAGCATTTTCTTGATGTGTACCATTTCTCGAAGTCTGTCCTGAATGCCATCTCAGCCTTTGTTTAAGTATGTCCTTGACTCATGACATTTATATAGATTGCTAAAAGCAAAAGAAGATTTTCTGGAATGTGGAATTGCTAACTGGAAATCCAGAGGATGTAGCAAAAGCATTTTTGCTAAGAAACATCTTCCTGGGGGCTGTTGCAAACATGATAAGCTTATACCAGTGAAGGTTTATAATTCTGAGGAAGGGGGAAATATCTAGGGGCTAAAGGAAATTCGTTTCTATCAAGAGCATTTCTACAATTCCATCTGTGTGATTATAGAGCAATATATGGGAGTAGTTTGATCTAAACATTATATAGGCACATAACAGATGGAAATAATAATGACTTGCTTCAAATGACTTTGAAAAAGAAATTTCAAGTAATTTGAGATGAAATGTTTGTTTCACTTGAAATATCCTAAACTTTGAAGTCTTCCAGATTGTGAAATACCTCTTCTTAAGAATAAGTAGAAGCCCAATCTTTAAATCATTAAAAATTAAAAACGTCTTTCAAACTAACATAAAGTGTTAATAACAGGGGAAACGGAGTATAAAGTACATGAGAACTCTCTGTACTATCTTAATTTTTCTGTAAATCTAAAACTGTTCTAAACAATAAAGAAATAAAGTCTATTTAAAAAAAAAAAAGAGGTTGTACCAATAACATGTACTGATATAGATCAACTGGCAAGAGAAAAAGGCAGAGTTAACACCGAAAATGTTTAACAACTGGAATTGCACAGGTATCAAACAATCAGAATGGTCGCTGGTCAAGCATCCAGCTGTACTGGCGTGTAGCAACTGAATATCACTTCTGGAAAAAAGCAAGGTGCAAAGCAGGGGTTTCCATTTGTGCAAAAAATGGCGACAGGAAGGACGGATGTGTGTGTGTGTATGTGTGTGTGTGTTTACATATATTCGTATGTGTATAGCTTAGAAATATACATGAGAAACTAATAACAGTGGTTGCCTCTAGTGAGGAACTGGGTGAGTTCACCATGAAATTTATCATTTAAAGCAGGTCAATTTTGTGAGTAAAAGGGAGCATTATTAATAATTATTCCAGAACAGTAGGCCTAGGCTCGTCCCGTACTGGTAAGTCAGGGTGTAGGATCCCCCTAGACGTGAGGCTCTAGGGTGTGGAGATTCAGGGCTTGGAGCTGCCTTACTTTTCACTCTGTCATACTACAATACATTGCTCCTACCCTCTTTTTTAATTTTTTTAAAGTAAAAAAGCCCTAGCAAATGGAATAGATATTCAATCTACAATGAAATCAGGATGGGAGAAGGTCAAAATTTTTTAATTCATTTTTGCCTTTCTATCATCATTAAGGAAGAAATCTAGCTATTATTGTTAAGATTAAGGGCGAAGCTGGGTGCTGAAAATTTTATTTGATAAACTAATTCACAATGATAACAACCAAACAAACTCTAAAGCTAAACAGTCAGTAAAAATGATTAAAGAGTTGTAGAGTTTGGGCTGTTATTTGCCAGACATATTAGTAAGCTCAGGGGCTGTTACTGTTTCTTCAAAGTGTCCTATTCTTTCTTTCCCTATCTCAACAGCCAGTGAAAAGTTTGAGAGTGTGGGTAAACCAAACTCAAACATAGTAACTCTATTATGTTATCCAGCATATGTTTGTTCCAGTCACGTTAACTTAAGATTAGGACATAACATTAACTGTTGTAACTTCAGAATTTGGTAATCTGGCAAAAATGATATTATACGACTAGTGAATTAGAAAAAACAATGATGGCGGATAATCATTGGATGTATGTTGCATGCAAGTCTAGATCTAAGAACTGTACACGCATTACCCCATTTAATCCTGATTTAAAAACAAAACCCTGTGAGAAATAGGTACTGTTATTATTCTCATTTCATAGATGAAGAGCACTGAGTCTCAGAGAGGTTAGATAACTTGGTAGATCAGAGAGCCTGTAAGTGGCAAAGTCAAGGTTTGAACCTGTCAGTAATCCCAGAGCCTGTACATTAACCATGACACTACCCTGCCTCATGGGTCTGTCTGGCAGCTAAGAGACTTAAGTTTCAATTCCAAAGCGGCCACTTCCATATTTTCTAAACTAAAACCAGGATGTGGAGTTTGACAATGGGTTAGTGTGTTTCCTGGGCTTTCCCCCAGAAAATCGAAGACGTGAAGTTGCTGTAACTAAGTAGGACGCCACTTAAATCCTTTGGTTTCTGTTTCCTCACCCGTGCAGTGAGAGAGGCAGACTAGAGGATTTCTAAAGCTTTACTTGCTTTATAAAAGTAGGAAACTCTCCTATGTTCCAGGTACTCTTAAAGTGCATTACAAATACTAATTTGTTTCCTCTCCTGACAGCCTAGGACACAACATTATTCCCATGATGGAGGTGAGCAAACTAAGGCCACAAGAACTTACATCCCTCGTCCTCGGTTAAATAGCTAGTAAGGTTCAAACCCCGGCAATCTGGCTTCTGAGTCTGTGTTCTTAATCACTCTGCTGTGCAGCCTCTTATTATAAATCTAGAAGAAATTGTAGGTCTAGAATATAAATTACAAAATAGAGAGTAAGTCTGGAATAAAAGATTTCTTCCCTGGAGACAGACTGTCTCCCAGATGGGGAGCAAATTTCTGTGTTGATCCTTCTTTATGCGTCTTCAGGTTTGGAGTCCTCTGCAGCTGTGACCTCCCTGGAGGCCCAGGGCAGGTCCCACCTTCTCCTTTTCCCTCTGCCGACACCCAAACTCCCTGGTTCTGTGTCTTCCTGCCTGTTGCCTTCAGGGATTTCTTGAGGATTTGAGGAACTCTTGGGGATAAAAAAGCAGGCAAGGTAGAAAACAAGATGCTTTCAATGACTCGGATATAGGGTAATACATTAAAGGAGCAACATTCAAGCTGGAAATGCTGCTTTTATTTGGTTTTCTCCTCCTGCCTGGATTCCTTACCGTCATCCTGCAAATATACACACACTACAGTTTGGTACAGGGAGAAACTCGTGCTGAGGGCCCCATTTCTTTTAAAATCACAACTCACAGTGTTCAGCTCAGTGCCGACCTTCATTCCCCAAATATATATTAGAACCCTGAGGATGCTGGGCCTGGTCCAGGTGTTGTGGGGATGCAAAGAGGAATGAGACGGTTTCTGGACTTTGGAGCCCTAGATGGACCAGAGTTGGCAACTCTGTGCTCAAAGTTCCTGGCTGTGAGCCCTTAAATACGCTAATTAACATTTCTAATAATAATAGTTTCCATATATTGAGCCCATGCTATGGGCCAGGCAGACACTTTACAAATTTCATCTCTAAAGCACAGGACAATTCTGGTAGATATATGTTATCCCCATTTTATAGATTGTGCAACTGAGGCCCCTAATAAACTACGATTCAAACCAAGTTCCCATGCTCTTTCTGTGATGATGTCCTGCAGTTTCAACCTCCCTTTTCTTTTCTGTGAACTGGAGTTAGATAATGCCATTCGCTAAAAGAATGAGATGGGACCATATAGATACATGCATGGTTCAGAATCAAAGACACATATTTGCACACTAAATGGTGGTTCTTATTATTAGGAAAGGAAGTGACACAGCGGTATTTTAGCAGTGCCTGAAGTGCTACATGAGTTAAGAGGAGGGAGCAATTCTTCCCAACCGGACAGGATCTGGTTTTGTGGTATTTGAGTGGGGCCTTGAAAAATGAAATGTGTTTGGGTATGTGGCAATGATAGGTCAGGGTGGAAGTAAGTCAACCTTTCGTAGGTGAATTTTACAGCACGAAAATGGAAATTGTCATGGCCACATGTGTATCGTTAGCGATTTTTTTTAAAGCCTCAGATTTTCAAATATTTCTAAAAGAACTAGAAAATCCCACTCTGGCTTTTGAGAGGAAGAGAACATACACCATGAATTCTTCCAGATTAAATGGGATTATATTCACAGAGAAGGGTGACTGCCTGCTATCTTTATTAAATAATACCCTAATTCTAGACAAGGACGACAGAAACGGTGTAACAAGACTTCTGAGAAGAAGGGATAAAGGTCTTTATAGAAGAGATGAGACTGGAAAAATAGTCTGGATATGAGACTTCCAGCCAGTCTCTGCTGCTTCCCCGTCCTATTCCCCACTTGCCCCTAGACTATGCCCCATGGACGAGACTAGCCCTGAAAGTGAGCCCAGTCTGTCTGCTAGTCTGGTTCTAGTTGAATCATTAGCACTAAATATTTATAAATATGGAGGAAAACATTTTATTCTTTTCTTATAAAAATGAGTGGGTTTTTCTGCCACATCTCCCTGTTAGCAAACAGACAGACCTTAAATGTGGATGGGAAGGAACCATCTCTTGCAGACCGCAGAGAGGTTGAACATCGCCCTGCTGTATAAAGCATACAACCTTAATTTACAGAAGAGCTTACTTTCTTTTTCTAAGTGCAGCTCCTATTTAAGAGTCTCAAATGTAAAATATGGAAGAAGTCATTTGTTAGTCACTTCCATATTTTTTCAAGTAAAGCAAAACAGATAATACCAAGTCAAAAGTGAACCCAACAAGACTGCTAGAGAAGCAGTGAGAGGAAAGGGAAAAGATAAGTTGTGACTTAAACAAAAATACGCAAGTCAGTCTAAGGCAACCAAAAAAAGCGCGTATATGCAAGAATAGCCCTCCCCCTTCTAGAAACTCTCACAGCTTATTTTGCCATAGAGGAAGATAAATGTTACAATATCTCGCTAACCAATCAGCAACGTTGCAGGCCTCAAACCAGGAAACCCTTTAAAGTGTAGTATTTTAAACTGTGCAAGTGAGACTTCTGGTTCTCAGCTAGTTTTTGTTCCCTGTGCTTGTAGGATGGAAAAGCAGATGTGAAGTCCCTCATGGCGAAGTTTAACACAGGGGCCAACCCGACAGAGGAGATCTCAGGCAACAGCCGACCCTTCAAAGTCACAGGGCAAAACTCACCTTCGGGAGTACAAGCGAAAAAGAACTTATTTGACAACCAAGGAAATGCCAGCCCTCCTGCAGGACCCAGCAATGTACCTAGGTTTGGGACCCCAAAGCCACCTTTGGGAGTGAAACCTTCTTCTGAGGAAAAGCCTGACAAGGAACCCAAGCCCCCGTTTCTAAAGCCAACTGGAGTGGGCCAAAGATTTGGATCCCCAGCAAACTCAGCAACCAGAGACCCTGAAGTGAAAGTAGGATTTCCGAAACCTGGAGGCCCCAAGCCCTTCAACCTGCCCAAAGATGATTCTAAACCTGTGTTTCCACGGCCTCCTGGGACTAAGCCTTTGCTTCACAGTGTAAACCAAGACCATGACTTAAAGCCACCAGGCCCGAAGTCCGGGTCTAATCCCCCAGCCCAGGAAAATGAACAGAAGCAAGTGTTCCCCAAGGTGGCGGGAGTCAAAGGCAAGTTTGTGTCAGCCACACCAGATCATGACCCCAAGCCCCTCTTCCCCAAACCCCTCATTGGCCAGAAGCCATCCGTGAGCACCGATGACTCCTATGAAGATGAGATCCCCACTAAGAATGTGGCTCCACAGAAAGGACCCTTGGCCCCCCTAGGAGCCAAGTCCAAAACTGGCCCTTTAAAACCAGCAAGAGAAGACCCAGAAAATAAAGACCATGGAGGAGAGACATCAAGCTCACCTTTTCCTGGAGTGGTTCTGAGACCTGCAGCAAGCAGAGGTGGCCCAGGCCTCTCTAAAAATATTGAAGAAAAAAAAGAAGACGGGAAGATAGATGCTGCTAGGAATGTCTTCCTGAGCAAAATTAATCAGGAAGAGTCGACTTCCGGGGCTTCTCCTGCCAAGTTCCCTAAGATACCTTCTAAGCTGACCGTGGGAGGGCCATGGGGCCAAAGTCAAGAAAAGGAAAAGGGAGAGAAGAATTCAGCTGCCCCTAAGCAGAAGCCATTGCCTCCTTTGTTTACCTTGGGCCCACCCCCACCAAAACCCAACAGACCACCCAATGTTGACCTGACGAAATTCCGGAAAGCCGCTTCTGGAAACAGTAAGTTCTTTTCTTGTTTGCTATTTAACATGTTTTATTCCACATCAGAGGGTGTTTTAGCTTCTGGGGAAAAGTTTGTAGCCAGGAATGATTCCATCCCTGGTACGCCTGTGTATATGATGACATTGGTATTTTTTTTCTTTGGTGGGGGAGGTCTGAGAAGGTAGAAATCCTTAGTTCTGTGTCGGCATTCCGTGAGAAAATGCCTTGGTGGGCTGGTTTTGGGGGGTGGGGAGAAAAGCATCCACCTGATTGATAAATAGTTTTGTTTAATGGTAAGCTTTCATCTCCTTCCTTAGTCGGGTTTCATTTCTGTTGAATGGGACTGAGGTGTGTTACTCCTTCCACCATCAAGGAGTTAGACAGAAAGATGAGCAAACCTCTAAGTCAGTGGTTCTCAACCTAGGGCAATTTTGATGCCCAGGGGACATTTGGCAGTGTCTAGAGGCATTTTTGATTGTCACGACTGGAGGGTGTTACTGGCATCTAGTGGGTAGAGGCCCGGGATGCTGCTAAACATCCTACAATGCACAGGACAGCCCCTCACAACAAATAATGATCCAGCCCCCATCAAGCCCCAAAAGTCTACGGTACGGAGGTTGAGAAATCCTCCTCCAAGTGATTCGAAATGTCCACAAATTCATCCTACATTTCCTAAGCCCAATATTCAAACGAGATGAAGAGCCCTCTTTTGAAATGACGCTTTCCGGTTTATATTTTAGCTGTCTTCTATTTCTCGGTACAAAGTTTTCTGAACTTTTCTGACTCATAAAATAGTAGATAGCTAGGATAATAAGCTACACAAAGGGATACATTATTCTCCTTCTGATTAATTAGTTTAATTTTCTACCAGAGATGTTACCACAATAGTATGGCCCGTGCTATAATTTGATACTGAATGATTTGGTAAAGATTTATAACTCTGCATTGTGATGGGAGAAGCTCATTTATGCCTGAAATGATTAATATTTTAGGCAAATAATGTGCACCTGTTTATTGTGAGGAGGGAGAATAAGCTGCTTACAAGCGACTACACCACCGTTAGACATATTTTTCTCCTTAAAAAAGTATGGTCTAATTAAAGCAGTTCTAGGCATAAAGGCCGTCTTTCTTTTTTGGCTCTGTAGAAGCATCTTGGGATATGTCATCTTCCTGAGATCAATATTCTTGGTGCTGGTCAACCAATTAGTGAGCGATCAAATCCTCTGTTAATTTATCATGTAGAAAGCAAGTTTGGAATGACCCCACAATCATCTCTCTTCCAGAAAGTTTCAGCCCACTTGTGTCTTCCTCACCTGTCTCCTTCTTATTTTAATACTGGTCCATCACTCAGAACTGTTATTTTTGTGACACCTTCTAAAAGATCTCTTCTTATTTCTCTTTCTTAGTGCTTCTTTACCTCAGATAAAAAGTTAACTATCATAACCTCCATTTTATGGGTCTGACCTCATGTCAAGGAATTGTTCTGATGTTAAACAGAAATCCTTGGACGTTTTCTTCCACATCCTCCATCTTTGTTTCCACTCAACTACCAGATTTGGTTGGTAGTAAGGAGTTGTCTGATGTCATGCTATTGAAATGGTGGTGAAGTCCTCTTTCTGGCTCTACAGTCCAGGCAAGGTCAGCATTGAGCTGATTTTCAGTGCAATACAGCCCTAAGGGACCCGAGCAAAATTGCTTACTAAGGAGAGTTAATCCTGTCCCTCTTTCTCCTGGCCTTTGCAACCCTTTCCCCCATCCTGACATGCATCCCCACTGCTCAGGTGCCACGTGACACAGTTTAGATTCTGAATCCTCTCATCAATGTACCCCACCTCCAACCTCTGATCCCTTCATGCATATTACTCCAAATGCTCCAAAACGGACCCTGTTCCCGCTTCATCTGCCTCTTCCACAAATCAGGACTCAACCCTTCTTAATTGAAACTGACCTCAGGTTGGTGTCAGGATAAAGCAAGCTGATTCATTACTTTAAATTCTAAATAACACCCCTTTAAAGCATACACATTTTTAAAAAGCATTTAAATTTCTCAGCTTATTTTTTAAATAGAAATTATATCTGGCTCAAAGAATAGCAAATACAAAGTGATATATAGTGAAAAGTCATCTTCAGTCCTGGGCCTCTGCCCCACAAAAACCACTCTTCTTAATTTCTACATCCATTCAAAGTTTCTTTATGTTTACACAAGCAAACATAAATATAGATACTAATCTCCTGCTTTTTATTCAAAAAGTAAGATATTATATGCAATACTCTGATCCTTGCTTTTTAAAAAAGTAATAATTAGAGGCCAGCCCAGTGGCACAGCTGTCAAGTTCGCACATTCCACTTCAATGGCCCAGAGTTCGCCGGTTCGGATCCTGGGTGCAGACCCTACACACCGCTTGTCAAGCCGTGCTGTGGCAGGCATCCCACATACAAAGTAGAGCACGATGGGCACAGATGTTAGCTCAGGGCCAGTCTTCCTCAGCAAAAAGAGGAGGATTGGTGGCAGACATTAGCTCAGCACTAATCTTCCTCAAAAAAAAAAAGGTAATAATTAAAAAATCTTAAATATCTTTCCACATTTTAATAAGAGGTAACTGATTATTCTTTAGAGCTGTGTAATATTTTGGCAAATGGATGACTCACCTAATTGGTTTAGCAATTTGTATTTTTTCCAACCTTTTTATGTTAGAAACAGTGATATAGAAAATAATCTTGTATAGGTGTCATAAAAAAGCATTTATTTTCTGAACACAGAGAATTTCTTAATAGATCTGCTGACTCTGGATCCAGCCACTGCTATTTTTCCTAAATCACGATAGAAATACTTATTAATTTAGCATTCCATTTAGGAAAGTTAAAAATATACTAGAATTAGAATGCATATAGTGTTTAAATTAACTAAAACTTCGTCTAATAACTCTGTAGGCTTTCAAAACTTTAAAACTATTTTCTTAGCCTTCTACCTCATTCCTTCCTTTCCAGGTTCACATCCAGTTTCTTAAAGCTCTTCCCCAAGTCTACCCTCCATCTTTTATCACCTTTGTCCGATATATTAGCCATTAAAAATATTTGTCATTTATTGAGGACCTGTTAGATATCAGATAGATGTTATCCCGTTTATTCCTCTCAAGAACCCAATGAAATAAGAATTCTGTGAGGAAATAAAGCTCAGAGAGGTCAGATAGCTTGCCCAAGGCCGTAAAGTGACTAAGCAGGGGCAGGCGATTCCAGAGCCCGTGTCCCCCGACATCCCTTGCTGGGCTGCCTCTCGTGATACATAGGATATCTTGAGATAATAACTCAAGCATAAGTGAAACCCAAAGAATCCTCATTCCTCTCCCTTTCTCTGTTCTTTGGTTGAAACATCATTTTTTTAAATTAAGAATACCACTATAAACTCCATGAAGACAGAGGCCAGTCTGCTTACCATTATATCTTCAGAGAACAGAAATAATATAAACTCTTGTTAGTTGCTCAGATTTGTCCTCTGATTAAAGTCTATTTAATCAAAATTTAGGATAAATACTCTCTATAGCTTAGTGACTACTTCAACAAAGTAGGTAACCCTTGCCCACAGACTTGCACTCCATTGAATGGAGCTTTCATGCAAATGAGTGTTATGTACAAGGTCTATACTATACATCTATTCAGCTTACTTATTTGTAAACCATAAGCTTGAATATAACATGTTGCTTTTCCGAATGTGGAGCTAATAACTTTTTTTTCCCAGAACGATTTAAGGTTAAAAAAGCCTAAATTAAAAAAAAATTCAAAATGTTCTCTGAACTAACCTTTTCTCTGGTTCCTTTTGGTTCCCAGACCAGTCATGAAAGGACTTCCTTGCCAGCATCATTGTGTACACCTCGCCAGCAAAGTTTGGGTTGCCAAGAACCCCTGGCTTGACTGCTGGTTTGCATATAGGAGTTAGTAAAACCTGCTGGAAAATATTCCATCCAACCCTTTTTCTGGTCTTGTTCTTAATACCAGAGAGAAACTAAGATTCATCTTTCCATACATTACTTTAAGAATGATCAGTTAGGTATCTTGACAGCTGAAGGGATAAGGCCAGAGTCCCAGAGGGAGTTAGCAAAGGGCTAATGGTGTGACTGACCCCCCTCCTTATCCACTTCCGTGTCACTTTAATCCAGCCTACAGCAATTTGGAACTAAAAGGTGCTTGCGCTACTTTCACCAGCAAGTAACTTGTTTCTGGGGGGGGGCAAGATTCTCCTTCACAGACCCTGAAGCTATCACCTTTCTCTTTCCCTTCTCTCTCCTTTTAAAATTACCTTGTGAGATACTTAAGTATTGAAAAGCATTTTATATCAGTGCATGTTGCTCCTAGACTTTACAAGAAAAAGAGATTCTATGCTCAAACACATTGAAGAAATTTGGGGATGAGTGGATTCTTTACAGCAGGGTTTCTAGCAGCATTGACATGCTACTGTGCACTTGGAAGCTAAGAACAAGGTCCCTAAAAAGCGGATCCTAAGACTCTTTTTCTGAAACATCTCACAGACTGGACTATTTCAGCACACTGAAAAGCTGGCAGCAAAGCCCTCTAGCATACTCACTGGAACTGACAGCGTGGCGCGGCTTCCAGTGGCAACAAGGCCGTGCATACATTGTTCTGCTAATTCTCCAGGTGCCTGGTGTGCGCTTTGTGGCTGGCATCTTGTCTTATTTTTAGCTCCAGCCTGAGCCCAATCTATTTCACCAGCCCTCTCAATCCCCAGGAAAGCAGTTCTCCATGAGATCTCCAGGTCTTCCCTTGATTCCAGGTTGAAGCGTCTGAGGAACCATGCACTGTTAATTGAGTGGCTTATCCAGGTTTAACTTCAAAACAGAGATGCCTCTGACAGAGCATCTTCTCTCTTGGCCACACAAATCCCTGATCAAATCTACGAGCTTCCTAGTCTTCGTGTTTCCTCTCTGAGTTCTAAACTTCTCTCCTCTGCTCTTCTAAAATAAACCAGCTCCTCAGTCTACACCCTGTTCTCCTAGTCAACCTGT